GGGAATATGATGTGAGGCGTATTATAGTGTTGTGGAGTTATATGTATATATATAATTTATAAATTGTATAGGTATCATAATAATTGCTAATAATTAAATCGTCCTACAATTAATCAACCTATATTGCATTGAAACATTTTGAAGCCATTTGTGATGATTTTTGGTGTTTTCACTGTTCAGCATACTTCACAATTGCAAGAAAATAATAATAATACAGTATTTGGTATGACAAACACGTCTGATTTATGTGGTATTTATTTGCGGTGTAAAATCAACATTTCGYGGGCCAAACGCAATGCCRACGCGTAGTTCCTTTCTTCTTTTGTGTTTGTAATGAAAACATAATAATATACGAGTACTACACTAAGGAAATATATTTGCAGCTATTTCTGGCGATGTCGAGCTCTAGTGGTTTTTTTTGTCGTTCGGTTTTTTTAGGCAGAATAGTTCAGCACGGACCACAATGTACAATAAAGCGTCATCATAATATTGGACCGGAAAACCACTGTAGACAGTGTTCTAATTTATTATTATCATAATACATGCGCAATATCGTTATCACAATATTATTAACCGATACAAAGAAAATCGAGTCGCACGCGTCGTCCCAGCAGCTGCGGAGTTTAAGCAACCCTGAAGCGCGAGCGGACGCCTAAAAATAACAAAAGCTAAACATAACTTACAGCACGCTCGAGGTGAACGACAACGCGACGATGACGCATATAATATAATATTTTACGCGTAGTGGCGACGGCGAACGGCCGAACATATATCGTTATATATACCAAACGGCTGCCGTACAGTCCGGTCGGTGCCGTCGACGCGGGCACAGTCTGCATTTTGTTTTACACCATTGCACTTTGCGAACAGAGCGCTTCCACCTTCGAGTTGGTCGTGTATTTTGGATTTTCGAATTTCCCGACCACCGATCGCCGCACGAAGCGAGTCTGCGACGAATTTCAACCCCCCCAAAAAAATAATAGTTTGTTTTATTTTCGCCCGTCGACCACCGATCGTTATAATATAATATTGCGGTATAGTACCTACCCGTTTGATAAAATATTAAACATTATATAGTTTTATTATTGTTGACGTGATCAGTAAACACACTCATCGTCGACATGAGGCCGCCGATCGAAGAGGAAATCGAAGCCGCCGAGGTGGAAGTGGACGACGGCCAGCAAACTGCCGTCATGTTGGTGTCCACCAGGCTGGCCGGTAACGCGGTTATCCGAGTAGTGAACCGGTGCAACGACGCGCAAGAGAGCCAAAATTTGGGTGAGTGCACTTAAACGCTGCTACCACAAACGTTGTAAATACCAGACATGGGGGTAGTCCGGTACCGCTAGCTGGAGATACCACGAGGTTTCCAGCGCATTTGGTATACCGAACACGCGGTAGACCTCGGTAACCGTGTAGTTCCTTTCGYGTTGTGCTAAACGTATTCTTATAATTCATTCCAAATATCTTTTGGGGAACTACAAATATGTGTATATCATATTATGGAGTGTTCAAATAGAATTAAATCCTCGACGATGGRYGATATTGATGGATCTATTATTGATTCAGAGCCGAYAGGTTGTGAAATATTATGAATTATGATTAAATTGTTGTTAAAATCACACTACAARYATTAGGTAATAACTAACACATATCATCGAAAAGTTTTGGGTAGATTAAACATAGATTTAGCCGCATAAAAATTATTGATATTTTTTACGAAGTGTATGCGGAAAAAGTGTAACAGCTGACCTCTGATGAATATTTTGTTTATTTCATACCTAATAGTTTCCGATTTCTAAGTAAATTTAATAGAAAATARGTAAATCTTCCTCTCTAAATCTGCTTAAATCAAATATATTATGTGCAAGTCTATATTGTACATATTACTTTTAACTATGTATTTATTGTGCAACATATTTGGAATATATTTTAATTATTTTTTTTGCATATAATCAAGCGGTTACATCGCGTTCTCCTAACAAATTGTTTTTTTTTTWAATTTTKAATGTAATATTACACATATTCGCTTGCTGTATGTGCCAGTTTCCTCGCTTTCACCTTATTTAATCTAATTATTTTTATTATAATATATTACGCTGTCGTACCAATACTAAAACCGTTGCTTGTTTATTATTATTACCACAACGTAAGAAAGTGTTTTGATTTCCACGTGATAAATACTCTATTGTTAACAAAAAACCTAGAATCATTATGAACGCGTTTAAATCTCGATATATTTTATGCAGGTATAAACAAATATGTAGTTTTTCAATTTACCTAKTAATATCTCTAGTGATGTATAGTTTTATTAATTGATTTAATGGTTTTATGCAATCTTATTAAAAAAAAAAAAAACATTTATTCCAGAGTATAGTCTCGATTCGATACTGTCTTTAAAAATTCTCTGAAGTGAATTTATTATAATGATGATTTTTCTATAGATATGTTCATTTTTTTACGGTGTAAAAACTTAAATAAATAAACAGATCTGAGATCTGACCCTGACAATTTACGCATTTCCGCAAACGCAACTATTAATGCACAACTTTTACGACATTTGTGCACTATTATTATCATCACTACATACAAACCAAAAACTTGTAATCCAAATTCAAAAGATCTTTGATTTATTTATTTAAAAAAAAAATGTTAAAATTGATTTTGTAAAATATTTACCCAACCACGCAAATTTTAGATATCGATATTTATAGTATCCTATTATTGTGGATATAAAGAGAAATAATAATTATTAAATTTCAAAATAATGTAATATGACTTAAAGTAAATAAGCATTAGACGATCTAAAGTAACATAATTGCTTACAAAACAAACGGGGTGAATTTATCTTCAGTCCTATAATACTATGCCTACCTATTCACAAGTTTCTTAGCTATCGATAGTAAATATATATTATGTTTCAATCACGAATTTTACAACACATCGATGGCGGTGATGATGATAATGACGTGTGTAAATAGATACACAAAAACACACACATTACATTGTTGTATTGTCAGTCCGGTTTCACGTCAAATGATATTATGCACCCATATATGGGTGATGGCCATTGGAATAGACCAGCGCGGAAAGATATCCCGCCATAATATGATAATTATTATAACCGCGACCTCGAACAGTCTACATCTGGACTTCCTGCTAGTATCAAGTCTGACGATTATAGATATATACCTACAATAATAAAAAAATATACACAATGAAGTGTACACACGATATACTTATCGACTTATCGTGATGGACCTTAAAAACGCCTTGTCACGCCGAAAGACGACAAAACATAATATATTTTCATTTTATTTTCCAGATTTGTCCGAATGTCAGTTGATGCAGATCCCTGATGCGATTTACCTACTCATGCAAAACACGCAATTGGTCGCGTGCGATTTGTCGAATAACGTGATTTCAAAACTACCAGTGAAATTCGCTGAACGATTTCCGACCATCACAGGCGAGTTTATTATTTTATACGGTTTAGGTCRACGAATGAAAATTTCCCCGGCTTATAGTATTAATAATAATATTATTAACTATGTTARCTRCGCCATAGTACGCGTTTRATTTATGTGTTGGATTAAGATATTATTATATGTTATGTATAATGTACCTACGCACCCTGCTGCAGCACACGTACATCAGTGCGATGTAATATAAATGACAATCAAAATAATTATTTCTAAATAATAATAATTCAGACCGTAMATTTATTATTACTTGGCAAGGTTTTGATTTGATTTTATTCATTGAACTCGATTATGTTTTTACAGTTCAGTGACAACAGCTGTATAATTTTGCAAAAGCGTTTGTGCCGTCAGATAAATGTATTTCAATTAAATAGTTTTGATTCGTACAATAACCAGGAAAAAAACTCTAACAATAGTAAAATAACAACAGTAATATCATATATAGACGCAGCTGTGTGCTCAGATCGCGGTCGTATTATGTATTCATATTGGTGCATAAAAAATAAAATTTTCTTAATGCATTCATAAAAGTTGGTTATAACAAAAAAGTTTTTATAAGTATCGCATATTTTTGCTTAAATCTCGCTAAACCGTTATAGGTGATTCTTTTTTACAGTGTTAGTACCTATAGGTAACATCGTAACCAGCATCTAGCAAGAAAACATTAGTTATGCAATGATGAATTTAACGAACTTGAGAATTCTATCAACTATAGTAGGTCAATAACGTAACTTTAAACTACTCCAAGACTATAGGAAAGATTTTAATTTATTATTTGCTGTAAATCTGTGCGTTGTTTGATACCCAGTGGAACTTATGAAGGGTGTTGGTTGAATTCATATACCCCACTCGAGTGGGACCAATGTGGGATAAATTTGTTTATAGTTATAATATTTTAATGTAGGTATCTTAAATAATAATATAAAAAATGAATATTAGGCACTGTAAAAAAAAATTCAAGATCTAGTCAATCTTCAGTTACGTCACAGTAGATGTGCTTACCACAGGTATACATTCTTTATACAATAGTTGTATAGGTACTAATTATAGTATTCTCATTAATACGTAAATAGAAAAACGATTGACATTTAAAGTTTAAATTGCTAGATAGCCAGCTGTAACAGCATAATGTGCACACGTGTGACGTGGTTACCGTGTTACTGAATGAATATATGTATATAATATATACATAAACATTTATTTTGAAGTACTTTTACCTGCATGGTCGTAACATATCTGAGTGATAATAATATTACAGCATATTCATACACAAAGAACCTATAAATGCGATCAAACAGTTTATTTTTTACCTCAATAAATATTTGGATATTTAAAGAGTTACATAATATCGTATTTGGCCACATTATTACCGGGTATTATSATGAATAGCATATCTATTACTTTGAAACTAATTTGGAAATTGCTAGTAGTACGACCTGATACATCAACACTAAATTCACAAATTTGACAAGTAAGCTGTAATTTATCAACTTTTTCCGGC